GGGGGGGGGGGGGGGGGGTTAGGAGAGGGCATTTTTTAGGGTTTAGGTGCGGGCATCAATTCTGAGGCGGGTTGAACCCTGTCTCTGCCCGCGAACTGTACCTGCAAATACCTCGGTTGAGAAGGAGGGATCGTGAACGGCTTGCCGTGGCTGTCATGGCCATAGCCTGCAAAATGGCAGAAGATGCTTTTCACATGATGGACGTTATCATGGGCCCTCCCCCAAGGAGTTTGCTTTCTGCAAACCACGGTGCTGATGCTTATCTGGCATCAGTGCTGGAAGATGAAGATGACGATAGAACCAGCAGGCACAATCTGTTGTGGTTGTGGCCTCCAATTGTCGACCTGCTGGACTTGCTCCCTCGTGCCTCGCCTAGATGGTGGGTCATGCGTCGGAGTGGAGGTCTATGGGAGGATCTCCTTCCTGTTGACGATGTGCAGAGCGACCATTACATAAGCCTTCTCCAAATGCGACGGTCGACATTCGATCAGCTTCTGCGGAGGGTTGGTACGTTGCTTGCGTAACAAGTAACAAGATTTCGCCCGCCTCTCCCGCCGGCCAAGAAGATGGCGTATGCTATCCACAGGTGGGCTCACGGCGACGCACATTGGCACAGTTGTTCTGCTTATGGACTCGGCAAAACCAGTGGCGTGAGTGCTATGCGAGAGGTTGCGGAGGCCATCATCGTAGCTTACTCGAATGTTATTGGGTTCGCATGGATGTGTTCGATCAGGAGGGTTTTCCCATTTGCTGGGGGTGCATAGAATGCACTCATGTGTTTATGGACAAGCCCCGCGCAGGCGACGACGATGATTATTGTTCCGGCCGAAACACGCGGCTCTCTGTCGTGGCACAGCTGGTTGTGGACTATGACCTCAAAATCCTGGACTTCTGTTACGGCGTCTCGAGGACCGTTGGCGATGCTCGTGTGCTGAAGTACACGTCATTGTACCGCAGAGCGTTGAAGGGCACACTGTTCTTGGATGAAGAGGCGACCCTTTCCGTGCCGCGAGGCCAATCATCCCCAGTGTGCTCGGTGGGTACTTGCTCGGGGACGGAGGTTACCCCAGTCTCCCGTGGCTCGTGACACCATATGGGCAGCAAGCCAATGTCATGCGAAACATGCAGGTCTTCGATTCCCTGCACAAGATTGTCCAATCTTGTGTAGAGCATTTTTTTGGGGTTTTTAAAATGTGTTTCCAATTTTTATATCGTCCACACGTGGCGGACATAAAAAGAGAAGGCTTGGAGTTCCATGCCTGTTGTATTCTGCACAATCTGCTGCAGGCGTGGGGAGATGTTCCCGAATAACACAGCGACGACTCTGATGGTCGTTCTCCGCTTGTGCCACCTCCCGGAGTCGATAGGCGAGCTGACGGATGCCCCCTTGAGTGCATGTTCGGTCGTGAACGCGGGCAGGGCATGAGAGACGCCTTGTGCAGAGGTGGTGCGCTTGTATGATCTTCGCAGGCAGTGGACAGACTCCGACGCCTTCATCCACTTGTCTGATCTACGTTAGTCATCCGAGAGTCTGAGGGACAGTTGTTGTGTTTTTCCAGAACTAAAGTGACGGGCCACCAGTCATGGCAAACGATGATGGTGAGAGAGGCTACGTGTGGGAGAGGTATGCACTGCGTGAAGAGTTGGAGAAGACGGAGCGAGAGGTGAGTTTCCTCCATAGCTTTTGGGTGGCGAGAGGAGACAGTGTCACTATGCGTATTTGGCACAGGAGAGAGGTATGCGAGACGCAGGTGATGCAAGAGAACAGAAATGCGAGGAGGTGGGCAAATTCGGTTGTCGAAAGACTTCGAGATGCACGGGCGAGGCTTATGCAATGTTGCGATCAGCTTGTTGTGCAAGCTATGCGGATGAGACGCGAGCTAGAGCGATGGCGGACGATGTGGGAGGACAGCCGCATGCAACATGATGCAGCTCAACAAGCCTTGAGGGATGCGATTCAGGAGAGAGATGAAGCAAGCCGTGAGAGAGATGATGCAAGAAAGAGCTTGGAGGCCGACGAGATCGATCTACAGGTAGTGCGGGAGCAAGCGGACACGGCGTGGCTGTTCTTCGAAGATGTTGTGAACGTAGGGTCACCGCCAGCTTCCGAGGAACACAGTTTGTCGTTTGCTTTCGATGATCTGTCATTGACAGATAAGGGCAAGGCGCCTCTATATCCACAACACACAGGTGGCACAGCTGGTCCAGCCACGACGGGAAAAGATGGTGTGGTGTGTCCAACCTGTCAGGAGGTTTCTGCCCATATGTCGCAGATGGAAAGCGAGATGGTGCGCTTGAGAATGGCGAATGAACTTCTCCAACTCCCTGCCTCCTTCTGGGAGGAGGCAGACAAGGAGTTGCAGAACTTCGTGGTACCTCTGACGTTTCTGCCTCCGCCTGCACGCCGTTCGTCTTCTTAGTTGTCGGGGCAAAGCCTCCTGATAGAAGGGTTTGGTGTGCCTCTTTAAACAGGGTCCAAGCGCGCGCGCGCGCGCGAGAGAGAGAGAGAGAGAGAGAGAGAGAGAGAGAGAGAGATGGTGGACACGCAAGGCCTTGCTTTTGTGTTGAATGACAATCCCTTTTTATTATTCGTGTATGAAAAACAGACGTTATATTTTTTGTTTTGCACTCTATGCATTCGTGGGTGTGACTGTGTCGTCCTCCGGAATATTCGAAAACCTGTATGTGCCAACTTACGCAATCATATCAATGGATGTATCCCGTGACTGCCTTTTTTTATTGAATGGAGTACGAATTTATTTCAATCCAAGATTTGCCTTTTCACCTTTTTCGTCGAATGGAGTACAAGCTGAAAAAATGGAAGAATCGCTAATCTTCATTTTTTTTTTTTTTTTTTTTTTTCACCTTTTTCATCGAATTGAGTACGAGCTGATCATTGAAAAAAATGGAAGAATAGTTAATCTTCTTTTTTTTTCTCTTTTTTTTCACCTTTTTTGTTGAATGGAGTACGAGTTGATAATTGGAAGAATCAGTTTTTCACCTATTTCACGTTTTTCGTCGAATGGAGTAAAAGCTGAAAATTTTTCAGAATCACTATGTCGTCTTCTTTTTTTTTCTATTTTTTTCACCTTTTTCGTCGAATGGACTACAAGCTGATAATTGGAAGAACGACATGACAGATAGCAGGTGGAAAAAGCTATGCATTTCAACAAGGGTTTCCCCACTTCGTGCGTCCTCCTCCTTCCTCGTCAACTCCACTCGTCCTCCTCCCTTCATTATTCTCCTCCATCCTCCGCCTTCCCCTTCCCTCCTCCTCCTTCCTCTTCGACTCCACTCGTCCTCCTCCCTTCATTCTCCTCATCCATCCTCCGCCTTCCCCCTCCCTCCTCCTCCCTTCATCTTCCACCCCCTCCCTCCTCTTTCCTCCTCCTCTCTCATCCTCGTCAGTTAGGTGCCGATCCTCCTCATAGCGATTCTTCCCCCTTCCTCGTCCTCCTAGTACGGCCGTCTTGCTCGTACGTCCTACTTCACACTTATAATCTAGTACAAGCTGAAAAAATGGAAGAATTGGTAATCTTCTTCTTTTATTTTTTATTTTTTTTCACCTTCTTCGTCGAATGGAGTACTAGCTGATCATTGGAAGATCGACGTGACACTAGCCATGGTGGGGAAATGCATTTCGACCCACTAACCAAGTATATTACGTCGTTGCTGCCTTTTCGATCATTGGCTTGTGGTGGCGACACTTCATCATCGTTGGTGCACCTCAAATTCAACGGTCAGAGATTTTGGCATCCGTGAACTCACAACAGGGACAATGCCAGCCAATCCCGTTCGAGGTAAAAGCATCCGAGTGGAAAGGACAATAACAGAGAACACTGTACCGCCGTTTGGAAAACAAGAGTAAGAGGGGGGACGGGGGCGTTTTTAACATGCATTCCCCACTCCGTTCGTCCTCCTCCCTCCTCCTCCTTCCTCTTCGACTCCACTCGTCCTCCTCCCTCCATTCTCCTCTTCTATCCTCCGCCTTCCCCCTCCCTCCTCCTCCTTCATCTTTGACCCCCTCCCTCCTCTTTTGTCCCCCTGTCCTCTTTCGTCCTCCACTCTCATCCTCGTCAGTTAGTTGCCGATCCTCCTCGCTCTTCCTCCCTCCTGCTTCCTCCTTCCCCCTTTCTCCTCGTACCACGTCCGCCCTAAACCATATGTCTCTCCTCTCCCGAACCGATCTTGCCTGCGTTGATCCCATCGGCCATGTCCTGCTACCATCTCATCCTCTCCCTCATGAGAACCTGAGAACGAGGGGTCAGGGAAGTCCATCGGAGGGCGTAGCGGGAAGGAAGGTTCTATCATCGTCCAATCCTTAAAAAGTAGCCGGTAATCCCGTACTACTACCCTCTCCTGTTGTTGGACCTCTTGATTTCTACCACTCCATTCCACTCTAGCTATCCAGCCTCCTTCCACCCCTTCTAACGAGTTGGTGCAGAAGGCGGTGATAGCTCGTTCTATGTCCCTCGTCATTTGTAGCAGGTCCAGCTTAGTCTTCACTTTCTGCCATCTATTCATTATTTCCATTTGGATTTGTTGTCGGATTTGGTCGGTTGTCTCTGCTCCCTCCACCCTCACCACCTCAAGTGCCATCAGGCAGCGCTGCCACCAAAGTCCCCACAGTATTGCCCTGCGTCCCAAACTATACATGTTTTCCACGAAGGGTGATTCTCTCTGTGCCTGTGGCCAATGACCCACTAGAATGACTCTCCAAGACCATGGCCATATCATCTTTCTCCATATCTGATCCCACCAGCGCACCGTGAGGTGTGTCGTAGGGCACTGCCTTCCCCCCTCACCCACTAACTCTTGCCGAGATTCTTGACTGACCCAGCCTTGCCAGGATTTCGCCTGTCTGGTCACCCTATCTGGCCCCCTCCCCCCTTCCCGAGATTGCGTTCCATCTTTGATACTTGAATCATGCAGTATCACCTAAAGATGGCCTCGCCTCCCGGTGCCCCTCCGGGGAGAAAGGGTCGACTACACATTCTTGAAGGCGGGGCGGTGGACCAAAATATTTCAAAATATTTCAGTTCTGGGAAACACAGTATAGTGCAGGATAATGGGCAAAGGGATAGGAGGAAGAGGTGTTTTTCCTTCCTTAACATTCTGCACAGTCAATCCTCTGTGTGAGGTCTTTCTTCGCTTTATCAGGGAGGAACTAGGTTTTTCAGCAGTAGATATCTGGCATCTGGTATTGGGATGAAGAGGTTTTCTCCCTGTTCTCACCAAACCTGCACAGTTAATCCTCTGGAAGCCAGAGTAATCAATGTTGGCAGGTCTTTTATTCATTTTGTATTCATTTTATACTTGGGACGGTGGACCCGTTTTCCAGCAGGTGATGCTGCCCACCAATAGATGGAGTCTCTCCCCGGGTGCTAGTGGTGTCTGCTTTTATCAACACCGCTAGCATTGCAAGGGGGGTTGGGGTTGGTTAAAAAAAAAAAAAAAAAAAAAGAGAACGAAACTGGGCCAAGTTCGAATGTTGCACGAAAGAAGGACCTTGCTCATTGAAGCCATCCCTGACAAATGGAAAGACATTTTGGCGCCAGAGGGGGTCGACCCTCCCAGTACATGGTTTGTAAATTCACAGCCCCCACACGAGACTGTGTGGAAACTCACAACCATTAATAACGAGGGCACAAGAGAATTTTAGTCGTGGTCTGTAATAGGCTCATCGTCCCTAACTCTCGACGAGAAACCCGCTGCACCACCGGTAGGAGTTGTTCTTCAACAGATTCGAGTCCTCAAGACTCCTCGATCAGATGGTTCGATGACATGCCAGCTGTTCGGAGAAGGCACACCAGTAATCCAACTCAAGGTAGACCCGTTTCAATGGGAATGGTCGGTCCAAGGCAATAGGGTCACTAACACCACACTGGCTGAATATTCAATCAGAATGGGCTATACCTTTAATTAGCCTATAAAACATCCTAGGCTGATTGCTCAGGGTCGCTGGGCTCAACTGATGATACTAGAAGCGGTTGTTATTGACGAAGCATTAACCTCGTGTTGGGAACAATTGAAGCTCATTCCCAATCAAAGACATGCCTCCTTGCTTTGGTTGGTCTCTCTGATTGCCACCCCGTCTGCAGTTTGGTTGGCAGAAAGGAGAATAAAAATTGACATGAAATGTTTGCACTGTGAATAGGCGTTTGAATCCTTTATCCAGCTTTGGTGGGACTGTCCGGCCCCCACATGCATCTGGAATTGGTTAATCAAGAAGTGGAATCGGATCTCTGATACGACATTTGATTGGACTAAAGAGTGGACTCTGTTGGGAGGTATTCCTACTGGTTTCTCAAAATCGAAAAGTTGGGGCTATGTTGCCCAAAATTTCCGCACTGCATGTTTTGCAGTGATCTGGCAAAGCCGTAATGAGAGATTTTTTGAAAACAACGAGTGGACCAATCGTCAGATTCGTTGCACTATTGCTCTCCATTTGAGGACCTCCGTACAGGCAGATTGGCGGAGAAAGGTGGGAAACGACACATCAGCTAAGGGCCTCCATTGGTTCCAAGAGACATGGGCACTACGAAACTCCATCGTGAAAGTGGAAAATACCCAACTGACTTTCAGTCAATGGTTACTTCAAGAATAGGAGTATTATGTTTGATCTTCTTTTGGTCATGGCTCGCAACCTGCATCACTCGTTTGCTTTGGGACTGTTGAAATGGTCGCAGTAGACAGACAGAGAGGATTTGTAAGTGGAAGGAGTGTTGGTTCTTGAGTCTCAACGTATTAGTTGAGCAGAGTAGGGTTTCAGTAGGTTTCAGGGTAATGTAGCACCCTCTCTAGGCGTGTGTAGGTTTCTTTTTAGTCTGGGCCAGACCGTTCTTTGGTTTATAATTGTGTGTTGGTTGTAGCCTTTTATTCTTCTTTCTTTTTGATCTGGGCCAGACCGTTCTTTGGTTTATAATTGTGTGTTGGTTGTAGCCTTTTATTCTTCTTTCTTTTTGGTCTGGGCCAGACCGTTTTTTGGTTTATAATTGTGTGTTGGTTGTAGCCTTTTATTCTTCTTTTCGGATTGTCTCCTTCCTCTTTTGGTAGGATTTCCATGTAGTTTGACTAGGGTAAGTTTATTGGATTGTGTGGATTTGCGGGTCGTGAAGGTGATTTTCTTTTTGTTTCCCAGGGTTGGGGAATGTCAGGGCAGCGGTCAGGATGCGGCCATTTCTGCCACTGAACTATAGTTCCCAACGCCTGCACCATAAACTGGGTAATGGTCCCAAAGTGACCTTTTCCGAGTTGTGTTGTGGAGGGATTCCTGACCTCCCCCTTCTTTTTCTAAATGAATTGCAAAGTTGAGTTGTAAAAAAAAAAAAAAAAAAAAAGTCTATCCTTCAGAAAAAAAAAAAAGAAGAAAAGAAAAAAAATGTTTTTGCCTAGGCTACCAGAGAGATTAAACAATGACTCAGCCTGCGGCCAGTGTCGGCATAACAACGTCAGAATCCGCGCCACATGCATCCAGAAGTACCACAAAAGCAAAAAGGCAAAAGAAGAAAGAAAGAAAAGAGAAGAGAAGATAGAGAAGGAGGAAAGAAAAAGAGAGAAGAAGAAGACGAAGAGAAGAAAAGAGAAGAAGAGAGAGAAGAGACACCAGGATAAAAAATGGTCCCCTGAACGCGATTAAAAATGAATGAACACGAAGTACAAACAGCTAGGACCCGACTAGTTTCGGTCTGCCGTCACCGGCGACTCATCAGGGGTCTTCTGTCGGTCGTAAGGTATCTAACTACTGTAGATGTACCAATTTATATCCTGTGTCTAAGAATTTGGAAACTCTAAACCTTCCGTAACAATGACTAGTCAAGTCTCGATCTGCCAATCTGCAAAACACGAAAAAAACGCTCGAGGACCCCGGGATTGAAACCCGCGGGTTACTTGAAAACAAACCAAACCTCGGGACTGGAACCCGCAGGTAAATGTCCAACCACGACCACTTGTAGGCCCCAGGACTGAAACCTGCAGGTCTATCAACAATATACAGTCTGACAGAACCCACAGTTAACCGTAGTAACTTTAATATCATCGAAAAGAGATTCCCGTACCAACTCTCTACACTTTGGGCCCCAGGACTGAAACCTGCAGATCCACCAGCAAAAACAGACTGAGACATCGGAAAAAGGTCCCGTACCAACTCTCTGTACTGAGTCGACTCTGTAAGCTGCATCTATGCCCAATTTGTAAGAATAGGGATCCAATGCTGCTAAAAGTGCGCAAATTTCCTTCAGAAATTTGTCAAAGCTCTATCAAAAAATTCGCCAGGGTACTTCCGCATCCATAACTCATGTTTCAACATAAAGAGAAAAGGCAATTCCAATCCCGAAATAGAAGTAAAGGTCCTGGCTCGATGAAGAAAGGAACCAATAACCTCGAGCTTCTGTTGTCGACTAGAAAATGAGTGATAGTCTTGAATGCTTTGGAAAATCAGCGGTCTGTTGACTGTACCCTGCTGATTCTTGTGCTTGGCCACGCACATAACTTTGCAAGGATCATCCACAATCATCAACATGCATCCGATGAAATCCCAAGAATGAGAGACATTCGTTTGTTCCAACATCAATACCTTGTCATAACAGGAGTTAAAGCATCTCAAAATCTTATCCGCTACTACTCTAGAAGATGGGTCAGAACTACTGAACCTAACAAAGAAGGAAACATCATCAACAATCCTACAACCATAAACCAAAACCCTCTGATTTTTCAATGATGACAAAAAATTGAACTCGTCAAAGACACACGGCAAACACGCCAACGCTGGGCTAGTTGTTTGCCCCATCGGAATACCCACCTCCTGACGGAACAATTGACCAGAAACCATCACAAAGGTATTGTCTAACTGATACTTGATAAAGGCAAAGATCTGAGAAAACTTGATCCGAACCCAACCGGATTCACCCTTCCCTTTGGTGAGTCGTACCATCTTCCCATGTACCCGAACCACAACTGCTGCAAAACCTTCACTGATCCAATAATCCAGGACCCACCGAACGGCTCGAAGAATAGAGGGATGTGGTAGATTGGAGAACACCTCTTTGATGTCGAACGAACCCCCAATCAAAAAATCACCATGTCTCGCTTGTGAGTTGATCTTCGCGATCGTCTTCATAACATCTGCAGTACATCTGAGATTAAAATGCATCTCTTCAGGTAACTTTCACAGCAAGCCATTAATTGCTCGAGCAACTCGTCTTCCAGCCACAATCGAACCATCTGAGTGTGAAGGACATATGGGACGCCAACGATTTACATCTTTGTGTTTAGGCAGGCAATATGCTCTGCCAAATTTGCAGTCTGGTTTCCACTTCCCAAGCACACCAAACTTCTGTTCGTCGAAACGTAACTTGCAATCCCTCAGTGCATCAGATTCAGAACTGGAAATGTTGACAAAAGAATCGTTGTCAAAGAACAGTTTCTTCATCCCAGCTTCATAAATGACCGGACAACAGATGAATGTGTCGCCAAGGTTGTGATCAAGGGGAGAACAAACCAGCCCATCAAGCCGATCAAGATGTGGGCGATTTGCTGCTTCGGAGAAAGCCAAGCCTTCAGAGTCTGACCAATCAGAGGATCTACGTACAGAAATGCAAGAAGAAAGAAGACCCTCATCATCGCGTGAAAGACACACCTTAGGTAAGCAATCAAATGTAGAGAAAGACTTAAGAATCTGCATCTTTAGTGATTGCAGAGGATCAAAGGTGCCAGGTCGAAGTACATTCTTATAATTTTGCATACAGCGAGGAAAAAAATTATTAACAGTACTAATGCGAAACGAGACATGTCCGTCAACACGAGGAAAAGATTCGTCAGAATCCTGACAATTACAACAAAAATCACCCGCTCTTGCTACAACACGAAAGTTATGCAACAGATCCCCGACTGATTGGTTTCGACACCAAACAACACGCATGCGTCGGACAATCATATCCTTCCAAGCAGACTCAATATCAAGAGTCCTAATAAGATTAGCACAACATTTCCTAATGGCAATCTTGCAAAAAAGATCATCGTAAACCACCCGAACCACCACCCTCTGTCGTGCATGAATACCATAGGATCTAAGAATCATTCTTGAAAGTATGTTTCAGAGTCTACTACGGGTACGTTTCTCCTGAAAGCACCGAACAGTTGAATAGGCATAGATTAACTCACGAAACTCAAACGTGACAAGATGGCGACATGTTATGGGACGACTCAGCAGCTGGACAAGAAAGGGTTTCAGAATCAAAGCTTTCCTGCAATAGGGAACAATGGTTTCAAAACAAATGACTGTACCGTCAACAAGCCATCCCCGAGAGCTCCTCAACTGTTCCTTGTCACCTTTAAACGAAATGATCGACGATCCATAACATCGTCTAGCGACTTTCCAATTATCCACCAGCAACGGACCACCATGACAAACCTCCACAGTATGAAGAATAGAGTAATTTCGGCAGAAATTACGAATCCGAAGAATGCTAGTAGACGTGATACCACAAGACGAATGAAATACGAGAACAGAATAGCAAACACTACGAGTCAAAGCCAACCCGCGACTCTTCTTCCTCGGCAAACGTTCCCGTTTGCCCAACCGAGACTTCTTTCCTTTCCGTGGTTTATCTTTCGAATTCAGTGCAGCAGAAAAGTATCGAATATAAAAACGTTCCGTATCGGCAAGATCATCCTCAGTACATGTACAAATAGGAATAGCGACGTACTTCTCTGCCCCACAGCGTCGTAACCAAAAATATAAACGCTCGTTTCTTCTTCCTCTGTTCACAAGAGTATCACTACAGGCCCTGTACACGTGTTCAGACCATCAAGTACCCACATCTCTAGAAGTACTACCTACGTATAGGTGTCGACACCAAGGGGAAACTAGTACGTAAACGAGAGGACCGGCAAGAGATTGACCTCCACTCCACCACTGTAGAACACACGAAGATAATTTAGTTGCCCAAGGAATCAAACCACCCAAAATGAGAGCAACGACAACCACTCGAAACAGGGCATCCACAGATCTACAACGCAAATTACTAACAGAAGAAGAATGGTACTGAGAACAGGTAATAGCTAATGACCACAATTGCGCCGCGCTCGGGAGAGAAGTCAGGATTCGGCAGAATCCCTATCGTCCTCCTTACTGCTATCATTCGCCATGTCATCGGAAATATCATGACAAACTGCTCTCTTACCGAATGCTCGTTCAACACGTTTCTCGATAATATCGTTGATGGTCTTCGGAATGGTACTGTACTTAATACCCTCCTTCATACAAATTCCAACGAGGTCATCTTTCTTCTTGTTCCCTAACTCCTTCCTGGCATCACGAATGAATGACTCTCGTTCATCATCGTCAACACCAAACTTCTGCTTACCACGTCCGGTCTTGATGCTCGTTCCTCCTGCTGCGTCTAGCCTCTGCTGAAAGATAGACTTCCGTGTGTTCTCTGCTTCACGCTTAGCAAGTTCTTCTTTCAATCGTGCATTCTCCTGTTCAGCCTCCCTTCTCCAATTTAACTATTTAACCGGAGTTCTTTGAGTGCGTTGACTTCCAACGTGTGTAATTGAGCGAGCTGCAAAGGGTCAATAGAAGGTCTGTCATTTGAAGACTTCCTCGGCGGTGTAGCAGGTATCTTCAACTGTGCAGACGATGACGTCGCCAATCGACTCCGTTTGTTGCCGGTACGTAAGGCCTCCTTCTTCCACGTTTCCACCTCTTGCATCGCCAACTCCTGCTGCTGCTTGATCGTCCGAAGTGACGCTTCCAAGGTTTCCGCCCGCTTGTTGGCGGCCGATGCCAATGCCACTCGTCGTTTCATATCTTCGTGTTCTTGCATCATCTTCGCAAGCAAGGCATCATCATGGACGGAAGGTCTACTCGTCGACGCGCCTGAATTATTGGTGACCTCGCTTTGAGCCACCTGAAGTTTCTCGATCTCCTTCAACAACTTCTCCATTTTCTCTTCTCCAGAAACGTCTGCCTGCTTCTGACCACGTACTGCTTCATATACGACATCCAACCGAGCATTCATGGCATCATGCAATTCCTTGTTAAGCGCCTCCCGTTCTTTCTTATCTAACAATCGTCGCTCTTCCTCTTCTTTCGCCTTCTTCAACTTCTCTTCTTCTTCCTTACGAGCTAATTCATTTGCCATAGCCAAGTCGTACCAGGTCTTCATCTTCACAACAGTCTCTTCCAATACCGCCATACGCTGATTAAGGTTAAACCACCCACTCCCTTTAGTATATTGACCATTGGTATTACCGGACACTCCTCCAACGGTAGTCTGTGAGGCAGGAGGAGGAGGAGGAGGAGGCAGAGTTGGAAGCGAGATGGGTGGGGTTGGAAGTGTAAGAATAGGAGCATTGCCAGTTCCTAAGTTACCGGTCGCCGCAGCAGTCTTGTGTGGACACCATCTTGCAAAATGGTTGGGGTCTCCGCAGTTATAACAGGTCCGAACACTCGAGGTAGAGGCCATCGTGAAGATCAGCAGAGTTACGAAGCCATGTGTATCGTAGTCTAATCCCTACGACGGTTACTCCGTGAGAAAAAGTGATTAAACAATGACTCAGCCTGTGGCCAGTGTCGGCATAACAACGTCAGAATCCGCGCCACATGCATCCAGAAGTACCACAAAAGCAAAAAGGCAAAAGAAGAAAGAAAGAAAAGAAAAGAGAAGAGAGAGGAGGAAAGAAAAAGAGGAGAGAAGAAGAAGAAAAGAAAAGAAGAGAAGAGAAGAGAAGAGAAGAAGAGAGAGAAGAGAAGAAGAGAGAGAAGAGACACCAGGATAAAAAATGGTCAAAAAGAGTGGCCCGGGTCCACTTGCCCGGCCGGGCCAAAAGAAATACAAAAATAAAAATAAATAAAAATTATTTTAAAATTTAAAATTTTATTTTAAATTTGGTAAAAAATTTCGATGTGACCCTGAGGCAAAAGTTGTTCAGTTTATTTTTCTGCAAGGGCCATGCTAATCTTCTCTATATCATTCCAATTTTAAGGGATGTCTGTGGCTGGTTTCCCCCCCCCCTCTGGCATTAAAAAAAGAACCCACATCCCTGTGGGCCACATCTATTGATGTGAGGGAGGCTAGGCCCGGTTCCCAGCTTGCAATAAACTTCACAATTTTGAATTCTCTTTATTAAAAAAAAAAAAAAAAAAAGTCCAGACAAAACCAATGAACTAACTCCGGAGAGACCAGGAGGGAGATCCCACTACCAATGTATGTGGATTAGTGTTTAAAGTGTGTGACTGTCAGGCATCGTGGATTTGGCAGGAAATCATCAGTAGCCTGTTTTTGTGAAATAAGCCCAGGAAAAGGATGTTTTCTTTTGCTCTCCCATTGGTAGGTTTTTCTTGTGTTTTTGTTGTTGGGGTCCTGTGGCTGTCCCAAACGTGTGTGAAATTACAACCAAGTTTTTTGGTTCGTGAAATCACACACCTTTCACTCAAGGCGAAGGCAAAGACGAATGGCTTCATCGCTGGAAATTGATTGTGGTTTGGGAGGTGTTTGGGAGGGTTCGATCCCCTCACCTGCAGCAAATGGTGTATCGAGTTACCCTTGCCCTCCTTTGCCAAAGAGAATTTCTGTCAGAACAACCGAACAGCGTGCATTGCGGCCTATTTCAAGGAAGCCTCAAACTATTGTCAATTAATATGGTCTGTGTGCCCACTCACATGCAGTCGTCTTGACTGCCATAGCCATGCTCAGTGAATCATACATACCCTGACATCTGACACCCCGCCTGGAGGACAAACAGTGGGTGGGAAGAGCACTTCTTTTATTTTTTAGCATTTTTCTCTTCATTTTTTTTGTCATGAAATGGTTTTTTGCATTTATTTTCCCTATTTCACGCTCCCACCCACCTGTCCCCCACCCCGTCCCACACCCGTCGGACTAATCCACAAACATGGCTGGTGGGATCTCCCTCCAGGGGCCTTGTCCCACCTGCGTTGTTGAGTCAGGTCCAACGACGTGTGACCTGGTGTGACGCAGGAGATGCGAGCAGTTCTGCCCATCCCCCGGTCGATTTTTTTTGTGTGTGTCTACCGTACGAAATTGCCTTTTCTTCTCTTCAATAAAACGACCCTTCAACCTTCACGTTGAGCTAGCTGTCTCCTTTTTTCGTCTCGGCTAGCTCCAGGCGACTTTTATTTTTTTCTGTACAGATCGTTTCTTTTTCTTGGTGTTGTCATTGGGCCTCGCTGCACTAGACTAGACACATGAAAAATTTCAAGAGTACGTCTAGCGCTGTCAGACTCCTGGATTGGCATCAAGTGCTGTCGTCGCTGCACTTACTCCGGACTCTCAACTCTCGTGAGCATTCTTGACTGTCCGACAGACAGCACGACAGGGCAGCGACGATTTGTCCACCGAGACTGGAGGCCAACTCTCGAATTTGCAAACCACAAGAAGGATCCGGTCGGCCTCGTTTGAAAAAAACGCCCCTGCAGGCGGGAACTGTGGAAGCTTCAAGAGCTCCTCCGATGGGCCATTTCTGACACCTCTTGAAGCGCCGGACCAAGAGCACTTTTCCACAGTTAATGCAACCATGACCCACTCTCGACGTTTTCGAGAGTGAATCTGACAGCTCTTGAATGGAAATTCAGGACGTGGCATCAAGAGTTAGTGCAGAGGTGATGAACTCTTGATTTCTCAAGATTCAAGAGTAGTGCAGCGAGGCCCATTATCATGGCATCGCACCATTTCCGAAATCCGTTATCCACACGGGATCACGGCGTCCCCTATTGTTGTCATGACACACGGTGGGAATTTTCTGCATGGGGTACTCATCTGCATGGGACCTCGTTTGTGGCAAGGTTCATGCTTTTCAGTGCCTTGTGGGGCAAAGGCCGACGAGGAGTTGAGGTGCTGAGGCTTTTGGGAACAGTGGGGCGCACACAAAGCGGAAAGCATACGTCAGAGGCCATAAAACTTCCTCTGCAGGCTTTGAATGTGATGATGAGTCACCGGGGGAAAATATTGAAAAGAAAAGTTTGAAAAACAAAGACATGCATTATCCCATTTCTTTCTAATTAAAAAATGCATTTTGAAAGTTTTTTTTTTCTTTTTTTTGAAATCCTTATAAAAGCCAGAAACCGGGTCCAGCGTCCCTCACAAGGAGCAACCTTTGTGGCATGATCCGGGCACTTCGGCCCGGTTCAGTCCCTGGTCACAGTCACCAATGAAAACTCAGAGAATCAATCCAAAATACAAATGCACAGTCAGTTTCGCAGTGTCACCCCATTGAGTTACCTCAACTCAACGGTGCATGTGGGAAAAGGTCCCAGGGACATTGTCCCACTAGCAGTGTTGGCATAACACTGAAATCCAACGTTTGAAAGACCAACTTCTTCAATATGCTCACCACAGATGGGGGGATCTGAATCAGAGGAAAACTATCTAAACGGACTACGGAAGGTACCATGGACTCACAATTTTTTAGCCTAGCCTCAATCAGAGCCCATCGCACCACCATAGAGGCCTTCCTGGACCCGACTACGGGGGAGGTGGCCACCACCACGGCACAGTGTCCAAAAATAGCCCGTGATTTCTACCGAGACCTTTTCTCCTCACAAATCCCCCTTCCCCAGGAAGAACATCGACTAAACGATATTGTTGATTTTCTGCAGCCGATGAATCATCGCCTCACACCAGCTCAGAGGACAAAATTGGACCTTCCCCTAAGCAAGGATGAGGTCTGGACGGCTCTCCTTCAGATGGAGGAGGAGAAGACTCTTGGGATTGACGACTTTCCTAAGGAATTCTGGGAAACAATGTGGCCGCGATTTAACAATGATCTAATGCAGTTCTACAGAGCAGTCTGGGAGACAGGGGAGAGGGGAGAAATGTTAGGACAAGGGGTGCTATCTTTACTTCACAAGAGAGGAGACAAAATGAACATCCGGAACTACAGACCCATCACCCTCCTAACCGTAGTCTATAAGATGCTTTCTAAGGCCTTGGCAAACCGTATGATCGAGGTGCTAGATGACCTCATCCATCCAGCACAGACTGGCTTCATGCAAAACAGGAACATACAGGAGAACATCCTGTTAGTGAATGAGATGATCAAACTGTCCCGCGAGTCCAAGAGCAAAGCATCTTTCATTTTAATAGACTTCGAAAAAGCATACGACCATGTCGATTGAGTCTTCCTCAACAGATGCCTACACAAGATGAACTTCGGTCTGAATTTTCGAAGGTGGGTCCAGATCCTACACCAGAATGCGACAACCTGAGTACAAGTTAATGACTTGCTGGTTCCAAAAATCACGCTTCAACGCTCGGTCAGGCAAGGAGACCCGATTGCTTCTTTCCTCTTCATCATAATAATGGAAGCCTTGTCCGCCAATCTCCGACACAATAAAAACCTCTAACATACCAAATGACAGAATCAAGATCGCAGACATACCAAAGGACGCCATCCCAATCTGCTCCCTGTTTGCGGACGACTTGACAATCATGATGGAAGCATCAACCTCTAACATGGAGGAAATCCGAAGGCTGATGGAGCGCTTCTGCCTTCTATCAGATATGACAGTTAACTGGGGACAGAAAACTCTGGGCTGGTGGCTACACCAACAAGGGGGTAGGCCACCCGAACAACCCTGCATAACATGGGTAGCCCCCGACACAGCGATCCGAGTACTTGAGGTTCAAATGATAGCACAAGGACGATCGTAGGTAATGATGATTGACTCACATCCCCGGCCTTGGCCAAACTATCGCAATGGAATCACAAACACACTTCACTCTTCGGTAGAGCGCTAGTAATAAACAATGTGGTGCTGACCACGTTATGGTATAAATCGATATTGTGGCCGCTCAGTGAGCCAGCCCAGAAAGCACTGAAGCGAAAGGTGGCGGCCTACCTGTGGCAGGGAGACAATGAAAACACGAACGCTATCAGCCGAGTGGCATGAGACTCTGTAGTAAAGCTAAAAACCAAAGGAGGACTGGGTATCCTGGACCCGGCGACGCAGGTGCTGGCACTGTTACTACAATGGGTGATACAATTGATCTTCGAAACCGAGAGCTTGGACATACGGCACCCCACGTGTCCTAGTCGAACGGGTTGGCCGAGAATGCCAACCGTATGATTAAAACCGCCCTTCGCAGAAACTTAGCGGCACACGACACGCGTCCTTGGCCCGAAATCGTATATCAGATTGTCGGGATCCACCGGGCCACCACTCACGAGTCTACGGGGTTCACCCCCTTTCAGCTTCGAACTAATAGCCTCCCCTGTGTCGATTACCGGGGTAACTCAGAAATTGCCAAAGCAGGGGGTAGAGACACGGGTGCGGCCCTCAAAGCCAAGGCCAAGAGGTACGCCGACTTAATGGAACAGTCCGTTCCGAAGCTAGCCTGGAAAAGGCAAAGGATGACCGAACTGGCCCACGGTAGACAGGTCCGCAGCTATGAGGCTCGGAACGGGAATGCTGGGCCCCAGTACCAATATAAATTGGGGGACCTAGTGCAGGTACGTAAATGTGCACGCGACCGGAAACTCGCTCCCAAGTTCTCTGGTTGTTTTCGCGTTGTCGAACTCGGACCTAACGACGCCAACACGGTGCGCGTCGCGCCTGAG